TGGGTATGGGTCAAAACCTACTAATCATGTGGTATTTTTGGGATGACCATCAACCTTGAGGTTCACTGGGGGTACAGGCTTTTGACAGGTCCCCCAGGTCCACTCGGTCAACCCAGGGATTCCCAGAATTCATTGCAGCCACAGCTCAAAGAATCATCCCATTGAAATATCATTATTTACTGTGATTATATTATATTATATTATATTACATTATGTCATATCATATTATTATAATATATATATATATCATTTCCATTATACTCCCAATACTTAAATTCCCATCATATTCCTGTCCCAATACTCCCATTATCCCATTCGAAATCCACCATTTTTGGGCAGAAACCTCCCAGGACAGGTCCGACAAACGTCCCACCTCGACAATCTCAGTGACTCGACGATTGTATTCTCTTCGGTTCTCCGACCTAGGACGATGATGGAGTGAAATTGTGCTGGGATGTGCTGGGGATCTTGGGGTTATATAACTATAAAACCATGAGTTATAACTATGAATATATATATATATAAACTAGGATTTTTCTGGGTGTAATTATGAGTCTTATATAAATATATAACCATAAATAACCATGAATGACCATCTTGGGTGTGATTTTTCTGGGTCCAATTATGAGTTATATATATATATAACAACGAATATTCTGAATAACCATGAACATTTAGTGATTACAACTACGGTTACCCGGTGTCATCAAAGGTGGCTGGCAAATCCTGGGAAAACATGAAAAATTCGTGGCCTTTTTTCCACAGGGATATGTCTCATCAACAAATATCTCAACCAAGAACTGTTGGGGGTGAGAACAAACAAACTTGGGGATGTCATGATGGATTTGTTGATCAACAAACATTGGGATTTCATGGGATTTTTCTAGCAACAAACGGGCGGGGACGTCATGATTTTTAAACCAACAAAATGGGGATGTAATGGTATTGGGATTTAAACCAACCAATGAAGACATATGCTATATGGGGATAATCAATGATACTCATCAACATTCATGGCTGTGTCTGAAAATGGGAGGTTGACCCCCCAATTTTTGGCAGTTTAATAGTAGAAATTATGCTGAACCATTGGATTTTCGGAGACCCTATTTTCATCTGGTTGGTGGTTTCAACCTACCCCTCTGAAAAATGATGGATTTCGTCAGTTGGGAAGGATTATCCCATATATTGTGGAAAAATAAAATTCATGTTCCAAACCACCAATCAGATATATATAATTACATATATATATATATGTTACCCTCTGGTAATTTAACATATATAGCTATTGAAAATTGCCATTTATAGTGAGTTTTCCCATTAAGAATGGTGATTTTCCATAGCTATTAGAACTGCTGAGTTTTTGTTGAAGCGTCGGGGCCTGGGAGCAGGGTCGCAAGTGGTCGCAAGTGATCGCAGGATGTCGCAGGGTCTGTTTTCAGAGCATGGTTCACAGATGTTCACAGGGATGCAACCTGGACCGAGTCATGATTTTCATGATTTTCTCATTGAAAGCTCCATGTAGCGCAGGGGATTTCAAGATTATATAGTCAGCTGTGATGTGAGAATCAAAGGAGCATCCCCATGATTTCCCGCGTTGCATGAGGAAGCCATTAAAAAAAAAAAGACCTGGCTCATACAACCCTACAAACACATAGTTCCATATGGGGGTGCTTCAAAATTCGGGGATCTTTTTTGATCATCGGATATTTTTGATATAATTCGGCTAGAAACATGGCTAGACTCGTAGCCATATGTGGTTGAACACCCCATTGGTGGATGCCTTAGGCCATTGCCCAGGTCTCTCCATCCCCAGCCCACAGCCCTGCGTAATTCGCCCAGAGGCCACAATTTCGCCGCTTCGGAATTCGCCGGCGAGTTGGGGTTCGGATCCATTAACAAGGACTCAGCGGCAATGTTGGCGGAAAGCTGAATTTCCCTGGGAAAATGCGTGAAGCTTCAAAAAGTATCGAATTTCGAATTTTAGGGGTTGCCCTCAACTGTGGCACGATGGTTTAATTTTCATTGTTTTTCCATATATAACTATACGAACGTCTACGGATTTGGGGGTCGTTACCAATGACATCATCATAAATCATCTCTATCAAGGTTCTGGTGAGGTCATTCGATGCATCTTTCGCAGGTGAAGGCTATGTTTATGACATCACCACTTCCACACAGAGTTGTTTTTGCCAAAAAATGAAAAGCAAAAAAAACAAAAACATACTCAAAAACAGACTTGTTAAAACAATCAACTGAAAAAACACGATTCACAAAAAAAAACAAAAACACACTCAAAAACCAAACAGGTCGGGGGGAGCCAGAAACAGGACGATTCAAAAAAAAAACAAAAACCGACTCAAAAAAAAATCAAAAAAAAGCAAAAAAGAATCACAAAAGAATCAAAACTGCAGCAAAATGCAACAAACTTGGAGCAAAAAAGAGGAACACCAGAACACGAGGAAAATCAACAATTTTGCTTCATTCTGCCTATTTTGCTGCATTTTGTTGTTGTTTTTTTTTCAGTTTGCTGCAGTTTTGATTCTTTTTTGACTGTTTTTTTTTTTCCGATTCTTTTTTGATTTTTCTTTGAGTCGGTTTTTGATTTTTTTTTGAGTCGGTTTTTGATTTTTTTTTGAGTCGTCCTGTTTCTGGTTCTCCCTGGCCTACTCTTTTTTGAGTCCTGTTTTGAGTCCGTTTTTGTTTTTTATTTTTTTCCAAGATACCCCACTTTGTCTGGAGTAATGATATCATAAGGCTATGTATTTCACGAGAGAAGCCCTCCACTTATCAACATCAACATGGCTGGGAAAATCATATGTGTTAAGGAAAATCCTCCACAGATGAATTTTACATTGCAAGGTGAGCCGTGAAAAACTTGCAAAATTATCTCCCATCATCCCATGTGATGAAAATAATACCGTTGTTTGTTGGGTACTGGTACCCTATGATGGATCACAATTACCACCAATAAACCAGGTAGTAACCCCCCTAGAATCCATTAATACATATCAATGCTGTATTTTTATCTTGGGAACTTCAGGATCCTAAAATGGGGTACGTTAGTACCACATAAACATAATATATTTTGGGGTTTTTATCCCTTTACATAGGCCTTGTTTTTTTGTGACTCCAAGTTACCTGAAATGGCCCTCCGGACCTCCCCACCTGAATGGAAGTCAGAATGGCTGAGATGTCGTAGATGGGGCTCCATTGGTTCTGCGCGGCGGGGAACCCGGGCTAGTTGAGCCCATCCCAGGATGATCCAAGGGTTCGATTGGAAGGGAAAATGTACAGGAAGCCATCAGGAACCAGGAACCCACTGCATTAAAAACGGTTTTTCATGGCTTCAGGCCCTGGATCCTCCTGATATATCCTGATCTTCTGGCTAAATGTCACACTTCTATACTCAGATTTTCACTCAGAATTGTCTTATAGATGCTTTAGGGACTTGTTCAGAGGAAAATTGCAAGAAAGCATTGATAGATTCAAATGGAATCAGCACATCTGCAGTCAGGAATCTACAGGCCTTTTGACTCTATAGAGCTTCACATATCCCAAAGCTAAGCCGCTGACTGTCAATATATTTGGGTATTTCGGCATGCCCATGTTGCATGGTTCATCAAATTGGCTATGGTGGGCTGGAAAATGTGATTCTTTGTGGTCAATGGCGTTGTTACCCGAATAAACTTCGTTTCAAACCTACTTTTCTCCATTCAATTGCTATGCATTGAGAACTCAACCCCCACTGATGGTCAACCACATCCATCAGGGAAAAAAAAAAACGTTGGCTTCATCATCCCTGTTTGAAACAATTGAAAATCCTCAAAAAGGAACTGAAAATGGTTTGCGACTCACGTTGATAGCCCACTTTCGATTGCATCCCCATCCTCAGTCCGAATCACACAAAAAAACGCTGCGGCGAAACGCGCCATTTTCTGCCACCCTCTTCACCGCACGCGGCGGCACCAGTGGGTCGCCTGAAAGCATTGGAAAGGTCGATAAAGGTCGTAACAAAAAAAGGATTTGATCAGGATTTAAGTAACAAAACATGGGGATTTAAGTGACAATACCACTTAGATCACTTCGCACCTGCTTACCCTAAGAATTTCAGACTGTGGAATGATGTGGAATGCCCATTTTTTGAAGCTTTGGATTGGAGGGAGCAGGGTCTGAAAAATTGGAAGGGGTAATGTTTCGCAGGGCGGCACTGCGGTTGACATGGGCGATGTCCGTTCACACAATTGGTGGAATGCTCGAGGGCTTGGACCCGAAACCAATGATATTCCAATCGTGTATCATCACCGTGCAGTGCATTTCCAATGGGCAAGGTTGGGACACCCCATCTTTTTCCAGATCCAAAAATGGTGTTCTCTGATGTTTCCTCCACACATAACTATATAAATATCATTTCTTGGAGGAATATTCACCACTCTGTCGAAGCAGCAGGTCAACTAAAGTTTAACTCCCCAAAACCCGGGGACATCTGCAAGAAGGGGTCCCCAAGATAGGAAAGTTTGTTAGTTAGTTGGTTTGTTTTCCTGGGCCCAACTGTGGGATTGGAGATTCATCGACACTGTGCACCATCTTGCAGAAGTCTTTGCGACTTCAATCCCCATTGTTGTCGATGAAAAATTCCAATTCCTAAGTGTTGAACCACCATTTTTGTTTATCACATATACCCTCTGGTAAATAAACATAGACCCTGAAAATAGCCAATTGTTAATGGAAATTAGTCTTCCAACCCCTATCTGCCAGGGTCTATGTTAATTTACCAGAGGGTATCTGCTTTGTTGTTTCAATACTGATTTCGTTGATTGATTCCCTGTTGTTGATGGCTCAATCCCAATTTGTTTTTATTATTATGTTTTATGATGTGTTATATTTAAGTTCCATATTTTCTGATGAAATCACAGTGTCTTGATGCTTAAATCCCGCAACGTTTTTCACCCAAAAACACATCCTCACCCCCTTCGACCTACCTCCTCCAGATTCACGACTCATCATCTCGCGGTGGGCCAGAACCTAGAGTTCCGCAGCAGATGGATGCGGATGTGTTGGATTCCCAAACAGTAGGGCTAAACATGACCAAAATATGTGGTTTGATGGGTCTTACCCTCCAGTATGCCTCCAGTAAATTAACATAGACCCTGACAGATAGGGGTTGGAAGATTAGTTTCCGCTAAAAATGGCTTATTTTCTGGGTCGAGCTATTAATTTACCAGAGAGTAACCTCCAAAACTTGCTAGGTTACCTCAATGTGACCTCTGGGCCCGATCTCGATGGCTTTGTACACCCAAGGCAGCGTTGCTAGTCTAGTGGTCACATCCAGTGACAACCTTTTGGGGATGGAAAAAGATCAACATAAATCAACATGTTTGAAGCCATCAAGGTTAAATTGTGAAATAAATCTGGCTTTGAAAATTGAGTGATACTCCAATCCGCTGGCTTGTTGCAATATCTAATTTATGACATATATATATATTTCAGGAGAATGATGGCTTTCGGCTTTGGGTATCCACAATTTTTGTTGGACCCCAAACAAGTGTCAATGCCTCACCCCAAGTGCCCCAAGTGCCTATGCAGGCAATATCAAGAACCAACATCAAAATCGGGAATTGTATGAATTGTATTTCAACAGGGCCATTTTGCCCATTTTGGACACACTCCGAAACATCGACAGTTTGGACTGGAGAAGAAACCAACAAAAATGCCAACAATCCGGAGGAATTTGCCAAATCTGAATACTTCAGACCTTGATGGCCTTGATGTGGTGATCCAACAACAACTTGCTCAGATTTTCCCTTCATCTTGGAGACCAACAACAACCGCAACAACAACCGCAACAACAACAACAACAATGAGGACGAAACTAAGCATAACCAACTCTTCAACCTCTGACTGAGTTACAGCTATTCACAAAATCTGGAAAGGGACGCGTCCTGAGGTCTTTTTTTTCGTCCAAACAAATCCCGATTCAATCGCCATATACTTTATCCTCCCTATATGTATATATATATATATAGATTGAATTGAAGACCCCAACTTTAAAATTGATATAAATTGTTGTTTTAAAAAATCCACGGAATTTCACCCCTTTTTGTTTGTATTTTCCCAGTCCCGCGCCCCACCTGGCACTGGGCCCCCAGACCCTCCGAAGCCTCGCCGCGCCTCACCGCTGGCGGCCGTTTTGGTGGCGTCCAGCGGAGGTAAATTCAGCACCGCCTCGCAGCGCATCGACTCCTCGAGGGATGACGCGCTCGAAGTTTTTTACGCTTTGTTTCATGTCTGTTTTTGACTCATGGAGATGTTTATGTTTTATCATGTTATATCATGTTATATCATGTTTGTTGGGATACATGATATTTCTTGAACATCAGGTCAACTGCATCCCCAAGGGATCCATAAATCCGTGTTTAGATGCACCTGTTGGGAGGTCATTGCCTTAACTGGGACTCAACCCCTCGGTGGAGAATCAAAGCAACAAAGTTATGGGGGTGTAAAATACCATATATAGTAACAATACGATATTAATCACTATATTACTATATTAGTCATCTATGGGTGATGTAGTATCTCAGATATATTCATCTACCCTCTGGTAATTTGTTACATAGCTATTGAAAATGACCATTGAAATAGTGGATTTACCCATTGAACATGGTGATTTTCCAGTTCGTTATGTAAACGAACTAACCAGAGGGTATCTGTTGAGATTGTGATGTAACGTACCTGTAGTGAGGTATAAAAGCGATCATTTAATGAGAATACTACAATGGAGATATCGTGGGGATGTAATAGGGATACAATGGGGATGTAATGTTCATGGAGATACAATAGGGATATGATAGGACCGGATACATATTATATATATATTGAGATAATGCATATAATTGCATATATAATAATATCATGTATATATATATATATACACGTATGTATTATGTATACTGTATATATATACTGGTTGGTTCCCAGCTCCCTGAGTAAAAGTTTAACTTCTAGTCATCAGGTATAAACTACCATGATCCCCAAAAGAGCTCAAAGTCTAAGGGAATGGTTGGGAACCATCATGTATACGTATATCACAAACAATATGATGTGTATCTGCCGATGGGGGATCTTCAATGATCTACCCGTATCTACTCCAGGCTATACACTGGCCGTGCTACAGGACCAGTTCAAAGTGACCAATGGAACGCAGCGGATTCGTCCGAATTAGTGTACCCCCAGTAATCCAAGGGTCTATTGGTCTTCACCCATTAAAAACGAATGGAAATGGCGAAGACTAGGGGGGATTCCCATCGAGAATATATCGAAAAATATTGCTTGTCTTCAAATAAGGTACCTGTAAATCCAATGCTTAATCATCAATTCCCCCTACAATATGGCCATTTAGAGGGTATATCATATACCCATGTATATATATCCCATTTTCAGACACACCCAAATATCATGTCGGCATATATTGGCATATGTTGGCTACACATTGCACGAAATATCCCAATGATCGTTGTAAATCCACATAAGTTTGTTGACAAACTTATAAGCGGGTGGAGTCACCTAAAATGTGGCTGATTTTTCGCCTATAACTATAGTGATATCACATTCCAGTACATTTATAAGTTACCCTCTGGTAAATTAACTTGTTGACCCTGAAAACAAGAATTTTCGAGTGGAAACGAATCTTCCAATCCCTATTTGCCAGGGTCCATGTTAATTTACTGGAGGCTATCTTCTAAATGTGGCTGGCGTTTCTCCTCCATGGCCTGCAACAAAAAATCCCCTGGGTGGTCCCAACGAAGAGTTTCTTGGGATTGATGTACTCCGAGGTCACGATCAGGAACCTGGCTCCCCCAAAATTCACATAGACCCTGCCATTTTGGGGGACTTAGAAGATGGGGTTGGAAGATGAATTTCTACCCAAAATTTGGGCGATGTTCAGGGTCCAACTGTTGATGTAGATTTGGGGGATGGTAGCATGAATTTAGAGCTCCTCGTTCCAGACGATGATGCGGAAAATATACAACAAATTGAAACACGTAAGGGCTAATGCTCGTGGATTTCGGTCATGCACCGATGCATATCAAGGAAGCAGAACATTGGTAGCAACTTAAAGCCGAATAAAACTGACCAACTAATAGCAATCCCTATGAAATCCAAGTCCTTCCTGAGAAAGTATGGTCAATACCCATAATTATACCTCAAAAACTGCCTCAGACGTACCCGGCCTGGTAAACATATAAAAAGCTATTGAAAATGGCCCAGTCGAAATAGTGACTTTTCCGATTAAAAATGGTGATTTTCCAGTTCGTAATGTAAACGTTTACCAGGCCGGGTAACTTAAGCAGTGTTGAAACTTTTCTGGTTGGTGGAGAGCCACAATGGACGATGCACATTGATGCAGATTCATCCCGAAAAGGTGGATGGTAAGTATGGTTGTTACATGTTGTTACCCAGAAAAGACTGGATAATTCCAGGAAGTGTGGACTTGCGGCCAGCAAGGTTACAGTATGAAAACCACATCTAGCTATTTGAGCAGCCTCTTTGCATTTCTATATATATATAATATTTGGGGATATTCCCAGCAGTTGTGAATCTCCAAAAAATAATCCCAATTTTCAGACCCATCAAATCCATTCAAATCCCATAAAGTCTCATCGAATCCCATGGAAAATCACATGCAATCCGTAGGAACTGTGTCACAAGTTCCCCATCCCCTGGCCCCATGTGGCTTCGCTGTGGCTTCGCCTCCGCCGCCCTTCTTCCAGCTGAGCGAGGCGTCGCAGTGCGGCAATCTCTCCGTAGGTCACGCCTCCTGGAGAATGGCATTTGATGAGATTTTCATGGGAGTTCATGAAAATTCATGGGATTTCATGGGATTTTATGAGATTTTTCCGAGTGCTGGATTTTTCCCGAAAAAAACATGATTACACGAACAAAAAAGAGACAGTAGAGATAACATTCTTTGCTGACTTTTCTTTAAAAAAAACAAAGAAGACCTCCAATCATCAAAGATGACAAAGATGTCAAGGATGGTGATGTTGAAATCAGCTGGGATATGCCCTCTGATAATCAAACATGATTAAACTGACACTAAAAGAAAACGCAAAGATTACCACTACTTTAGGACTGGAAACAGGATGTGACGAAAACGACTCCAAACAAGCCATGCATGTGTCCTCATGGCTGGGAGATGTTCTTTGAATGGAGCTTGGAAAATCGGCATTCATCTACTGGTTGGTGGTTGACCTACCCCTCTGAGAATCAAACACCATAACTGCTTGGTGGTTGGCATACTGTTGATATACTGTTAATATGGATGTTAATGATAATTCTGGTTGGTGGTTGACCTACCCCTCTGAAAAATATGAGTGAAAGTCAGTTGGGATGATTATTCCAAATACATGGAAAGTCATAAAAATCATGTTCCAAACCACCAACCAGATCTATAAACGATTGAACTAATCCCGAAATTTCCATTGAACAGATGTGACATTTACATACATTTACCACTATTTTAGGATTGGATTCGGATGCTACCAAATTCTATCTCTTTGGGTGCTACTAGAAACTACAAGCAACAAACAATGGCAGGATCTTTTTAGGGTTCTTTTTAGGGTGAAGTTTGTTTGTATTCATTTTTCATTTTGGTACTCACCAAGCTGGGTTGAAAATGACGGTAGTCCAATTTTATGTTCTTATAATCCTAGATCAACCCTTGAAAGAGCATGTCTTTCCGTTATATTCAACTCTTCATGAATCCAGCTGACAGGTGCTTCAGTCAAGTTCCACACGCATTATCTAAATCATTCTAAATCCACACACTGTATAGCTGGACGCAACTTGCAACATCGTACAACTGGGTGAATACAACAAGTTATAAGTATCATAAACATTCAAAAGCGTAAAATTGGACTAGTGATTCGCACCAGCTTAGCTATCTTAGCCCAAAAAATTGTATCCTCTCTTTGAATCGCCCCCCCTCAAGAGACCGTCGCGCCTAAAAAGCAGACCAGCACCAGCTGCGGCTTCCTTGGGTCCTGCCTGATCATCCCGGATCCCCGTCCCTGGTGAGTCCATGAGTCCAAAATTGGAGAATCAAACACCATAACTGCTTGGTGCTTGGCATACTGTTGATATACTGTTGATATACTGTTGAAAAATGGATGTTAATGATAATTATATATAATTATATGATAATTCTGGTTGGTGGTTGAACCTAGCCCTCTGAAAAATCATGGAGTGAAGTTCGTCAGTTGGAATGATGACATTCCCAATATGATGGGAAAGTCATAAAGAATCATGTTCCAAACCACCAACCAGTAATGATTGATACAGTAAATGAGACTTACCGACCATCTTTTTCTTCTTCGCCATTTGATGATAAATCATCTTTAGATGGGAATACCCTGAGAGTTTTATCGACGATCAATTCATCCGCTGGAATCATCTTTCGTCGACTAGCGATCCATGGTTGAAACCCACCGTTGAACGAATGTTTGTTTGGGGGGATATGATCAATTTATACTAATCATGTTACAATTTTGTTAACTTCAGTTCCTGCAATGCAAGAATCCAAAAATCAACATGAATCAGGCACTCGCCCATTTTCACATTGGATTTACCATGATTTACCCATATATTTTTGTCGTTTTTCACTCCCAGTTCCCGGTTCTGAAGTCTCGCACTCTCGCACCGCGGGCTGTTGAAGCTCCTGGGTGGGATCCAGTGCCTTTTTCATACCACGGGATGATTTGTGGGATTTTTCACCCATGAAAATATCCATGGGGATGATAAAAATGGCGGTTTTTTACACATTGTTTGGATGTATTTGGATTATGATTGGGATTATTGATTACAAAGCATGTTTTTGTTCACAATCTTGGATTACAAATGATGTGTGTTCAAAATGAATCCGGATCTACAAAGCAGAAAATTTCGAGCCATGAATCATTCGTGATCTTTTTTCGTGACGATTCGTGACGACTCCATCAATGTTTTTTTTCATGTTTTAAATCATGGGATCCGACTTCAAGTCATCAGGTATAAACTACCCGGCCTGGGATTTTTTAATGGGATTTTATAGTGATTCAATGGGATATTAATGGGATTTACCATCTGGTAAACATACAAAGTTAGCTATTGAACATGGCCCAGTCGAAATAGTGAGGTATGCCAAAAATAGCATGGTGGATCTTTCCAGTTCGTTACGTTAGTTCGTTTACCATTTCGGATACCATGATCCCCAAAAAAGCTCAAAGTCTGGGAATGGCTGGGAAGCATCTCATCCATCTCTATGGTGGACCCTGCAGGATCACAACGTTGCTGGTGATTTTCCAATGCAAAAGACTACCATCTGGTTATGGCTAACAGCTCGCCATGGAAAATCACCATGCTATTAATAGGTAAACCATCTATTTCTATGGGCCATCTATACCATGGCTATGTTAGTCATAGCCAGAGGGTAAAGGATTTTCCCATGGATTTTTCCCTGATGTTCTATCCAGTTGCTTGGGGATGTTTAGTGTGAAAATCTTCGCAAATGAACATATTTGAAGCATATAAATGGAAACGCTGAAATATTCTTAGTTGAGGACGTGAAATATTTCTTGGGGACCTCAGTGCTGGACATGTCCCAAAAATGGTAGCTGAAACATCCAGATCTTTCCATCTTGAATAGCCGAGCGGAAAATGGCCACGGTCTCGAGGATTCAACCCGGAGTCTTGTTGGTGATCTCATACTCAAACTTTAAAAAACACAAGTAAAAGAAAACCTTCGAAAAATGCGTGGTTTCCAAGCACATAGTTTCATGAATTCTTTCCTGGAAGCCAATGGCTGTTGTAATATTGTCTGTGGGCGTCATCTCACAGTCTCAACGGTAGATTTTCCCTTGACTAAGTCCAGCCATTGATACTGCAGCAACCGTCCTTGCCGTTTTTTTCGTGACAACTATGGTTCTTTTCACCAGCTGATGGGATTTGGTCATGCCGCAGCAAAAAAAAAAACATCCCACTTGGAGGATCATACCAGTGGTGAATTCATAACCCTCGTATTCGGAAGTCGAAAAAACTGCTGCCATCCCATCTATCTGGGTAAATTATCATATTTCACTAACCTGAATAGTTCGGCCATTTGGGGATGATTCCTCTTACTAACTACCATTATAGTGAGGTCGCAGTGAGGTCGTTATAATTTACCCAGATCTATAACTGGGTTATAAGCCCAGTTCCAAACCACTTACGAGTTCTGGGATGATCCCCCAAGGTGCTTCAACAGCGCCGCTCCGCCGCTCCTGTGCTGGTCCGTGAAGCAAACTCAGTGCCTAGGCCGTGTCGTGGCCCGCAGAAACGGAACGAAACTGCCCCAGTTGCTAACCGGCAACTGACCCTCCTGTAAACGAACATATTATATATATAATATATATATATAATATATATATAGATGTGAAACCCCACCAATGTAGATCATTGTCCAAATGGGAAGCCATGGGTTTTCCACATCTTTTTGTATGTGTATTTGTGTATTCCAGGGTAACAAAAATAATTTCTGGTGGATTCTGGGGGTGTGTTCCCAAAAACTGGGTGAACAATGCAAAATGCTTTCTCCCTTGGTCAATGTGATGCACATCCAAGTAGCCATCGAAAACCCATGTTCTACTGCCGATAGGCAGGTCCCAAGATTTCGAAGTCGTGTATTTTCGTCCGGTGGTTTTCTAAAAATGTGGTGCCCTCCACTAATCCAACGTGGCAATGGGAAATACGATCTACATGGAGGTTTTGAATGATTCTACAAGGTGGTGCCCCATAGTTAGCTAAGTTGGTTTATAACTCCCATAACTATGGTTTATGGCAGATAGAACTATAGTTAATGGGGTTTATAACTTATAACTGGAGAGCACCATCCTGTAGTGGCAAAATCAACTATCAATGGGGGATGTTCAATTGCCATGTTTGATTCCCGCAGGGTATCCCAAAATTGCACGGTTGATCATAATTGTTCCATAATGCTGTTCCATATTCTTTGCCGTCAAAATTACACTTTCTTAGGTGTCAATCTAGCAAAGTTTGGGCAAACCCCAGTCATATTGTTGGTTATACATTCAATGATGTTCCCTTAGTATCGCCATTATTTCGCCATTATGTTGGGCTTTATCACTTCTGTTTCTGTTTAATTCATCTGTAAAAAAATCTAAATGATTGGTCCACCTGACAGCCAAAAAAACTCGGCCACCCCACATCTTTCACTGCGATCCAACCCTTTGGTTGACTCCTTCGCGAGAACAAGGCCATGCCAAAATCCGCTTTGTTCATCTGCAGGGTAGTAGCAGCTATATCCCAAACAACATCAAAATGCTGTTTCTAGCTACCCCTTAGTGCTTTTGCTTCGTGTTTCTGGGGTTGCAAACCCCTTGAGAGGCGACTTTTTTTGTGGGATCACCTACTGTTTCTGGGAGACTTAAAACCAGGGTTCTTAACCCATGTTTGATCCTCTCAAAAAACCTCCAAAAAGATGGAAAACCCACCAGAAATGTGGATCATTCCCATGTCCTGGTCATCTGCACCAAGCGAACGCTCAGAGGAGCATAGCCTTCGTTTCGAAAGCCCGAACGAAGGTGGTGTCCCAGCATTAGCTAAGTTGGTTTCACGGTTTCACACATATTTCACTAGGCTCTATCATGGTAGATAATGGTAGATATAATATATATATGTATATATATATGATTATATATATGTATTGCTTAAGAACCAACAAACGTAAATGGGGAGGCGCGACATTGTACACATCAGATATATCATCAGGAAAGGCAAAAAGAGCAGAATGGACATTCATCACGCTCAAGTGTCCAAAAGTGGAGCTATGCTCACTAGACATAGATCTTCTAACCGGTACATACATTTACCAGTTTTTGGACTGATTTGGAAGCACTAAGCAGTTGATGACAGGCGCTCCAAGCATTGCTTGTTCGAAAACTCATCATGGATCACCAAGTCAACAAGGTAACACATCATGGTGACGTGACCTAAAAATCCTGTGCAAATTGAGCAACAAATGGAACGGCTTGTTTTTTTGGGGGTCAAAACAAACCTCCCTCAAAAACCTTCCCAGAGGTTTCTACCAAGAATAATTCCCTTCAGAGTGGTCTTGTCACACCAGGGAACATCCCGTGATTTAGCGCAAAATTTGGGAACCCCATGGTACCCTGCAAAAAGAGGAATGGTTTACTATAGCTAAACGGGAAAGCTGAATGAACAAGTTTTTGATTCAGTGTGATTTTCCGGGACTTGAATCTCAACCTGTACCCAAAATGCTATATACCAGCTTGGAGAATATCCATGAATATCCCATGTTTATTTCTTAAGATCATCATATATGCTGGTAAAGCGGTTGTTTGTCAAACTTGGGGTGCCCTAAACCGATGTCGGATGATGTCGGGCTTCCCCATGACTTTGGAAGCCACATATTCCTAGAGATTTCCGACCAAGAAACATGTTCTTCTTAAGACATTACCCTAGGGTAAACCAACATAGAGTTGGTAAACCTATTTTCCCGTTCGGAAAATCGTCTACAAATGTTGATTTTCCACATCGAACTGTTGGTTTACCCTAAGGTAACCCACTCTAAAACCACTGGATCACTATTATTCAATGTTTTTAAACCATTCATCAGCAATTATTCGCCATTCGATATATAAAAAACCATTCACCATTACAGTATATAACCAGACATCAGGCATCAATAACGGTTCTCACCGTCCCTTCGGCTCGGGGAGACCGACCGCTGTAGGCATAGCTCACATCCTGATCCGTTCCGTCCTGGCGAAGGGAAAATCCTTCCCAAACATGGCCATGGCCTGAAAAGTGAGGCGATATGGAGGGATTCTACCATCCCTTTTCCCCTAATTCAACAGCCCCATTCTATGGTCCCAATTATATGGAAATTCCTCATATCCACCATGGTTTCGTTGGGGGTGTTTCATATAAACGGGTATGAATAATCGAATCTGTTAGTTTAACTATAACAAATTGTGATTTTCACAGAGTATAAACATGTTTTGTATGTATAAAGTATGGCATAATATACGTATGGAACCCCAAAACCAAATGGAACAGTAACTAGTCGCTATTTGTCAACTATCTTGGTGAGATTCTAGTTTTATATCTGTTTTGGATTGCTATAAGAATAGTTAAAATATGTAAAAATATCATGGAATCCAATTCTGATCAATGTTGGATATTGAACACTCATCAGAATTGTCGGTTGAGATATGAGTTTTGATCAGTCTAATTCTGATTCATGTTCAAGTGCCGAGACTTTTCAGTTCCCATTCGTCAGCAGGACCAACAGCCCTAAACTATCCGTTTCACGGAAAAAAAAAACTCGTGGTGCAACTGATGGATGTGTCAAAATTGCTCCACTTTTTCTTGGTAAGTTGAGGCAACTTGATGCCTCGCCCAGCCTGAGACCCTAGATCTGAACCAGTCATGTGCCATTTTGTCAATGGCCATGCAACAGGAACCGATAAAAATTGGAGGTACCTACCGTACCATATATAAGGCCTATTGTTCAGGCCTAAATTTCAGGGAATATCCCCACAATTCATATGGCCTGAAAAATGGTACTAAGTTAGTACCTCCATTTCAGGATCCTGAAATTTCCATTGATTTTGAACACACTTGCAATGTCTCTGATGGTCTACAAAAACATTGACAGCCGAGTCGACCAGGCCGTGTCCTCAACAAAGAGGTTGAACTGCCGCTTGATGCTTCCCCTGATCCCAGTATATCCCAGCGGGATGTCCCCGATGATCAGTAGATATACCCATGGAGGCGAACCATGGTGCTGGTATATGCACATCCACATGACTGGGTGATAAATTGTTCGGGTAAATGCTGGTGTGCATATTCCATACATTACTTGGAGCATTTGGGATACATGTGCTTACCTGCTATTCTGATCAACATGGAAAATCCCTCAATGGCGGGATGGACTGGTGAAAACATCATTCGGCAAGAGGGATTCCTTTTTTGTCTGCGTGGGGACCTTTAAGTTCGGGGTGTATTCCAGTCATGCTCTCCTAGACTATGGGTGGATGGTGGGAACTTGACAGTATTGCCCATGTCCGAGTATCAAATTGATGTTAAGGTATGCCCTGAAGATATAATATCTTCTCAAACATAGATCCAATTGTACTGTTTGGACGTGGATTCCTGTCAAACCAACCAAAAATATTCCTATGAACACTTGTTTTAAGCTGACAGCATGGAGAACTATGGTAAAATTATCGCCAACATCCAGTGTTGCCCTCTTGTAATCAAACATGGTTTGCTGGAAAATCCCCCCGTTTACAGATGATGTTCCCATTAAGACCTCTATTAAATGCCATGATTTTCCGTGGTTTTCCATATGGGGATGGGTCATGGCACCCTGGTACCTTTTGTTCACCCCAAAATAGCTGGGTTAAAATGGATGTGAATAACCCACATCCAAAATGGTATCTATAGCTATTGACCCGTGGTTTTCCATATGTTTCCTATGAATTCCCCATGGATTTTCCATCGGATTTTCCGATCCTTCGCTGGGCCTCCGAGCCAGCCGGACTTGCCTGGGCCTTGTTGTCGCAAGAGCCCCGCACCTGGAGATGTTGGATTCGTGCACAACGGTTGTGCACAGGGCGAATGATACATGTGGATGGAAATGTAACAATATATATATATGGGTTTGTCTGAAAATAGTGTACCCCTACAGCCAATGGTCATGTCGTGTATTGATCTAGATAATACTGGTTGGTGGTTTGAACCCCTCTGAAAAATATTAGTCAGTTGGGATGATTATTCCCAATATATGGAAAAATAAAAAATGTTCCAAACCACCAACCAGTATATATATATATGGGTTTGTCTGAAAATAGTGTACCCCTACAGCCAATGGTTTTGCTGATCATTATCCCTACTTTTTATGGCTATTTCATTGGGGGTATACCCTATTTTCAGACATACCCATATATATATATACTGTGTATTATATGATATATATACAGTATATAGTATATAGTATATATTTAGTAGATGTATAGTATACATCATATGATAGCATTACTCTATGATAGTATTATATAATAACAGTATATGTTAGTTTTATATGATAGTATTATATGACAGTATGATATGATAGTATTATTCGAAACGACCCTTCTTGGCCAGGATTGCCTCCAAGCGGATCATCTGACTTTCAAACAGCGTCTCCATCTGTGACCTCTGGGCATCTGCGAAACGACCTGAGTCTGAAGTCCTTGCACCTGAGCAGTATGTTGCTTGTGCTGTGACCACACCTTCCAGTGACTGCTGTCGGGAGGCCAAGTGTTGCATTTGTTGTTCAAGCGCTTGGATCCTGGCATCATTCTCATCCTCCATCCTTTCGACTGGCAGCCTCTGCAGGATGGATTGCTCAACCCTTTCTTCGATCTCTTGGAGCTGCGTGCTGACATTGGGAGTCTGTGCAACCTGGACTGATCTGGCGGCTTGAGTCCAAGGGTCTTTGAGCAACCATGGATCTGACTGGTTGGCACTGCAAAGTTCAACTGTGCTTGATAAGGCATAGACTGTGGCTATTTGGGGTTTTTCAACATTGCAACGCATTCATGAGACGTGTTCTACACGAAGTTGTCGACGCTTAGGCACCTTTCAATCACAGTGGAATTCAAAACAGTCCAACGCAATCATGTCACAGGAGTGCACTAGTTGTGGTTGTGCAGAAGATTTGGTGGCAGTGCAATTTTTCGACACAAGGTCAAAAATTCAGGTCAAGTTTCGTAATTATCCAGGTCACGACCGGGCACTTCAAACGTGTTCCAAGCCACCAACCAGTTACCATTGATTGCAAAATATTCAAGCACTAAAGTATCTAACCAAGCTGGACCCAGTACCCAGTCATATGGGAATAATAGGTGTTGACCCATCCCCGTATGTAACCAAATAACCGAACATCTCACGCCCGCTCCATGTTGATGTCCCCAAAGTCCCCGACCCTCCATGTTCTCCAAGGTCAAGGTATGTTCGAATCCATAGGACCTGAAGGCTGCTGCGGAAACATCCACCAGGTCATGTACATGTATGGTGTATATGTGTATACATATTATATATACATACATACCTACCATACCATACCATACCATACCATACCACACAACACAACACAACACAACGCAATGCAATGCAATGCAATGCAATGCATTAACGCAATGCAATGCAATGCATTAATACAATACAATACAATACACAATACACAATACACAATACACAATACACAATACACAATACACAATACACAATACACAATACACAATACACAATACACAATACACAATACAATACAATACAATACTTACTTACATTATTATATATTATATACATTACATTACATACCGTACCGTACCGAACCGTACCGTCCAAAACCATACCATACCATACCATCCCATACCAGCGTAGAGGTTTCCCATTCCCAAACAAATGCTGATGCAACTTCACAAAATTCCTATGGGAAAAAAACAAAGGTACTAGGGAATATTAAACTCCCACCCCCGTTAAACCTTAAATTCCTATGGGAAAAACAACAAAGGTACTAGGGAATATTAAACTCCCACCCCCGTTAAACCTTAAATTCCTATGGGAAAAAAACAAAGGTACTAGGGAATATTAAACTCCCACCCCCGTTAAACTGTACATTCAATTGGGAAGATCAACAAAGGCACTAGGGAATATTAAACTCCCACCCCCGTTAAACCTTAAATTCCTATGGGAAAAACAACAAAGGTACTAGGGAATATAAAAATCCCACCCCCGTTAAACTGTACATTCAATTGGGAAGATCAACAAAAGGTACTAGGTAATATTAAACTCCCACGCCCGTTAAACGGTACATTCATTGAAGATCTTCAATAAGGGCTTAATTCTCCCACCCCCGCTAAACCTCTACATTCATTGAGGATCTTCAATAAGGGTTTAATTCTCCCACCCCTGTTAAACTTCTACATTCATTGAAGGCCTTCAATAAGGGTTTAATTCTCCAACCCCCGTTAAACTTCTACATTCATTGAAGATCTTCAATAAGGGCGGGTTTAATTCTTCCACCCCCGTTAAACTTCTACATTCATTGAAGATCTTCAATAAGGGTTTAATTCTGATGATGATGATGATGATGATGATGGTGATGATGGTGATGATGATGATGATGATGCGTCGCCTGTCGTCATTGCGGGTCCGGGCAAAGCCCAGGCATTTGCCGTACATATATATATTTATTTATTTATTTATGTATTTATTTATTTATTTACCTATTTACCTACATACATATTACATATACATATACATATATACATATTACATAGAGAGAGAGAGAGAGAAAAAAAAAAACGATATCTGCAAATATACACAAAGATTATAAATGCCATGCCTGGATAAACCTAACCTCCTCTGGGTTCTATATCCTGCATCATAGCCACATCCTGAAAGTAGAATCAGACTATTATACGTAGGACGCTAAGTTTTGACATTTCCTGGGTGAAACCTGAAGTTGGAATTGTACCCGAGGGGGGTTCAAGCGCCCTGGGTGCACCACGTCCGAAGAAAACTTGATCATTTCCCAGGGGAAAGAAGTGGTTGTTTTCCATAGATCTATGGTTATGACTAACATAGCCATGGTATAGATGGCCCATTGAAATAGATGATTTTCCCAGCTATAAACCTCCATTTATGGTTGGGATTTTCCATGGCTTTATGGTTGGGATTTTCCATGGCTATGCTAAATTTTATTGGAGCATACCTACCCAAGAAAGACGGAAGCAGAAAGTGCCAAAGAAACGTACCCTCCGGTGTCAAACAAAGTCCTTCATCTATGTGGGTAAATTATCATATTTCACTAACCTGAAATTAGGCTATTTTTATGATGAAATCCCTATTGTTGCCCCAACAATTCCCATCATTCCAGGGTTCGGTCGCAGTCATCATGCGATTTCCCAGCCCCCTTGGGCCCCTTGGGGCTCTCGGCTGCTTGAAGGCCGTCTTCAAGGACTCCAACTGCTGTTTCTGGCAGCGAAAAATTGGGGAAGTTCATCCCAAAGAATTGTTATTTTCAGAAGCTACCCTCTGGTAAACATACAAAAAACTATGGAAAATCACAATTTTTCATGGGAAAATCCACTATTTCAATGGTCATTTTCAATAGCTATGTTAAATTACCAGAGGCTATCAAAGCATATCAAAGCATAATTCTAGCATGGTTCTTAGATGGTTCTTAGACGGTTCTTACCCAATTTGTTTGCCTCATGTGAGGCGGATACCAAGGTCCCAGTGATGTACTTGCTGCTGGTTCTCTCATCATTTCGTTGCATGTATCTGCACCCACCACCTCCAAAACACATCCTTCAAATTTGTATGGTGTCAAGCCATTCTAGGTTTCAGGTTTCATGTTTAGCTGGAATATCCCCGCACTTCTGGGTGATTCCTCTGAAAACTGGAGATATCCGATGGCTTCCAAACCATGCTTTGTTGTCAGATGGTGTGACGGCGTGGGCCAAAGCTCATGGAACCCAACCAGCCTTTTTTGTCATATTTGCTAATATTGATGGCTAGCCTTACACAGCCTTAGATACCAAAAAAATAGAAACAAGAAAACGGAAAAGGATGGAGAAGGTTAGATTTACCACTGTCAAAAGAATGGATTGGACACCTACTGTAGTTTTTTTAGCGGGAAACATCAGCTGTATTCAATTTATAATGATCTACATCCTGGAAATACTCTTCGGCTTTCGGTATCTTTTTGGTGCTTGCTATAAAATTTCAAAGAAACTCCCATCACTTGAATTTGTTTCAAGACAGCCCCAAAAAAATAAAACATGCCCTCTGGTTGTTTAAATGTTTAACGTAGCTATCGAAAATCACAACTTTTAATGGGTAAATCATCATACATCCTCTATAAATGGGCCATTTTCCATAGCTATGTAACAAATAACCAGAGGGCCAGAGGGTGTGTTCCCCATAGATCCACCTAATATTTCCTGGATTTTACAGGCAAATGAAGGATCCATCAGATCACTCAACAAGTCTCCGCCTTAATTCCGTTGTTCACCAAGGAATGCAAACACAGCAAGCGCAAGGCCTTCCAACATGCTCAAGAGCGAAGAAACGATCCAACATGATTCATGGTCATTTTTTCGACATCTTTTTCAATGAAACGTATTGATTCATTGATAGTTGGGGGTGTTCTTAAAATGGGGAAATCCCAAAAACACCATAGTGGCTTTCAGTGTTTCTTCTGAAGACCTTCAAATTTTGGAAATACTATGAAATATACTTCACGGTAAATTGATGCGAATTGGATTGTTTAAATATGTGCCATTTCCAGTTGAAGTAGTCTTGCAACTGTTTCAACCCATCCCAAAATTATCAGCCAACTGAGATCACTGTCTCAGGTAAAGATCAACAAGCAGACATACCTTGAACATCGCGACTATGAACCATGTTTTCTTGTCTCATCCCCCACCTTTGTATTTCGTCAAATCCCCCATTTTCTGACATCAAATGGTCATCATCCATTCTCGTTTTCCAGTCCGGGCCTGATTTTTTAGATGAACACTTTTTGATGAAATACTGTCCAAATGTTGATGTGAGGGTTTCCATAGTCATGGGGGATCCCCAATAGCTGGATTGTTTATTTCAGGGAACATCCGAAAATAAAATCGATGATTTAGGGCTACCCCCATTTTAGGACACCTCCATGTGGTTGTAGAATGTTGGACACTGAACTCGACCCCCAGCATGCCATTCAAAAAGAAAAAAACACACGTGGTATCACGTGGTAACATGCGCAAAGCATCTCGCATTTGGCACATTTAGGAGTTGACCCATGCCGTGCCCATCTGGATCCCCACCCAGCTGCACCCTTTTCAACTTCAGCGCATGTGTTGGCTTCCAAATCTTGATCCCCCCAGGAATTCGCCGACTAGGTGACTTCAGGGTTTAGAATCTCTTCTGGTCGAGCAGATTGCCATTGCAGATTGAAAATGTTTAAGCCTGTCTTAAACGGATATCAATGATACACTTGCTGAAAATGCATATCATGGCAATGGAAAGTCACCAACATTACATTCACAATACAGCTATGAATCATCTACAAATAAACTATTCTCAGGGAAACTCCATTGCCGGTTTGTATCACCGGACAAATGGTGGGGATCTATGAATGATCTGTTTCTTTCACAGCTAGCCACCTGCGTTTGAGCAAGCGCCTGGCTTGATGGCTTGGGTCAAGTTGGATGTATGCCTTGATGCAGCAAATGTTCATCTGAAATGGGTGTTCTCTGAAATTCGCTCCAAGTTGACCGCAGAACGCAGTAGAACGCGGTGGAACCCGGTGGAACACGGCACCAACTCGACCATTTATATAAAGTCCTTCATCCTAGAGGTTTATCAGGGATGCCTTGCCCCTTGCCCCAACCATGGGTAGACATAACCTCAACATACCAGGTGGGCCCCCACCAGTTATGTTTGTTGGTTGATGAGATTAGCTAGTTCGATATATCGTGATATGTATATATTTATGTATATATTTATGTATATATTTATGTATATATTTATGTATATATTTATGTATATATTTATGTATATATTTATGTATATATTTATGTATATATTTATGTATATATTTTATATAATTATATATATATAATCCCCCTTATAATTAGACCCGGAACCCGGGTACCGCCAGTATATATTTAATTATATTTAAAAAAAGAAAAAAACTGTATAAAATGATGACCCGATATATCAATCAAAAGGATTTGTCATTTTATAGCCCCACACAATTGGGGCAATTTATAAAATGGTGGTTTTACATGGCATCAAAAAAGACCGAGCTCTGGTCTATAAACATGTTTGACCCCGTAAAAAAAAAGTTGGTACAAGAAATAAAAACACCCCAAAAAGCGGTACCCGAGTTCCGGTCGTTTATAAGTATGATATGATTCTCTATGAGCCATGGTCAATACTCACTATATGGTTGATGGTCATCCCATCCATAATAAGGATCCTTATTCCATGGTTATTATAAATCCCTATGAACCATTGGATGACTAGCCCCTATTAATGGTTATTAACCATGAGTATTGACCATAGCTCATATGTATATTGTATACCGTTGCAAAAACATCCACAAACCCAACAGTGAAATACGGTGGATGGAAGAAGTTCTGCACCAGTTGGTGAGGAATTGTCCTGTTATAATCCCACTATTTGCAGTTTTTCATACTTACAGTTACCAGCTGGTGCAGGATTTCGCAACCATCCACAGTATGAGTGGTGCAGCCATGGTGGTTCCAGCAACTTCGCGGGGTCGAAGCTATTGACCTATCCACAGTTGGTGATAGGACCTACAAATTGACTTGGCCAAACTTCGATACCCTGAAAAACAACAAAACAACATCAAGCTAGCATTTTGTTTCTGGTGATTTAACATAGCTATGAAAAATAAGCCATTCATAGATTTTTTGATGATGATTTACCTATCAAACATTACCCTCTGGTAAATTAACATGGACCCTGGCAGATAGGGGTTGGAAGACTAGTTTCCATTAAAAATTGGTGATTTTCAGGGTCAACAAGTTTATTTACCAAAGGGTATCTTCCATAGCTACGTTTACATAACCAGAGGGTATAAATCCCGATTTCTGTGGCGGCTTTCCTCCAGCTGTTGCATCCTGACACCGTGGGGCGAATTCTGTCGCAGTGCCAGCGTACCAACCAGTGCCGGGCAGACCCGAAAAACATGTTTCGAAGAGGATGCACAGGTAAGAAATGCTTCAGTGGTGATGGTTGATAATCTACCAGTGCCATCCAAAAAACCTTCTGCATAAGAAATGGCTCAGTGGTTAAGATGATCGTTTATAAATGTTGATAACCATGGTTTTCCAAGGACATTTTGAGAAGTTCAGCCGTCAAAAATTCCTGGCAACGAGCGTCACGGAAACCTTTTTGAAAAAGCCAAGTCCAGTTGTGCATCCCTTTTTGGTGCTGCAAGTATTCTTGGTGCGTTGCCCTAAACTACGATGCAAACATCATCAAAGATGCAAGTGAAGGCTTCAAACTAACCATCGATCATCTGTGTCATCCTGTGTCTCAGGTGTTTGTTCCTCCAATCTTCGATGGTTTTTCGGTGTTGCCCATCATTTGTCAGACCTCTCAGAGACATCAGAGTCCTCCAGGCGTCGAGCTTCCGTCAAGGCGCGCATCAAAAGCTTGGAGCTGCTGCGCGGCTGAAATGCCCCCTGCTCCTGTAGGATTCTTCAGTGGAACTTCCATCGCTAATGGGATTTGAATGGATTTAATCATGATGTGGGTTCAACCACCAAAACTGGTACCCTCTGGTTGTTTGACACATGGAAAATGGTCCATAGAAATAGATGGTTTACCTTTTAAAAATGGTGATTTTCCATGGCTATGTTAAACAACCAGAGGGTAATATGAATGGTGGATTGGTTGATCAGGCTTGCTCCCTGGTCCCAGATACGAAACTGGGGGTCATTTTGGCACACAAAGACTCTTACCCCTCCCCCCGAAACTGGCTATGATTCACCTTTTGTATATTTATAGCTTGGGCAATCCTAGTTATTTTGCATCACCATGGGTACCCTCTGGCAATTTAAGAGACTCTCTATGGAAAATCACCGCAATCAGTAAGTCATCTCCGGAGGTGACTCAAACATGGGGTACCAATTGACCCGGAGACGTTTGTCTATTCTATTCTTGAAGTCCTGCGGGTCAGGTAGACTCATTATTTTATTAAAACATCAAACATGCAAAAAGCAAATACAAAAGAAATACAACCGCAAAATGCCACACCAAATAAAGTCTATTCTCTTTTAGCATATTGACATATTAAATCATATTGAATATCAAAAGTTCCTTAAATTGGATCTTCACTGATCTTCACCAGGTGGACCAAATGGGGTGCACCATCTCAGGTGGGGACTTAAAAAACATTTAAATCGCCAAGGATGTGTCCTTAAAAGCCTCAGCACTAAAATACATTGGACAAATCTGCTGCAACCTGGACGTCCGGTGCCAGCACCATCTGGTTATGACTAGCATAGCCATGGTATAGATGGTCCATAGAAATAGATGATTTTCCCATTAAAACCTCCATTTATAAGGGATTGTCCATGGCTATGTTAAATAACCAGATGGTAAATCCTAGACACTATCACTATGGATGAGATGAGTTTGGCAGATCAGAATACATCACAATATTAATCACAATGTTCGAACATGAAACAAACTCATTTCAGGTCGTTCCACCAGGCGACCGCTAAATCCGTTGGATAGAAATACTACCCTCTGGTTATGTCAAAATAGCTATTGAAAATGACCATTGAAATAGTGGATTTACCCATTGAAAATGGTGATTTTCCCTAGCTATGTTAGTTTACCAGAGGGTAGATGTCAGAAAACCATTATGGACCCGGAAAAAACTCCATTTGGCTTTGAAAAGATGCACCAGTTCATCCCTGCTTCATTATTACTGTATATTACCTGGTTGGTGGTATACCTACCCCTCTGAAAATTAGGCGTTCGTCAGTTGGGATGATGACATTCCCAATATATGGAAAGTATTGGAAAGTCATAAAATTCATGTTCCAAACCACCAACCAGTTACTGTCATCCCTATTTAAAAATAAAAATAGAAATAAACTCCGGCAAATCTCAAGGACAGGCATGATGAACTCCATATGGCCCTATGGTTGATGCTTCACTCTGCATGTTCGGTGGTGAAACGGTTAAATCCCAGATTTGTTGGTACCCAATCATACCCAATCACATTATCAAACAAGACATACCGTTTCTTCACACCATTCCAGCAGGCAGCTCCTTCCCATCTGACCATGCCAACAGACCGCTGGCACCGTGCCAACCATAGACGTGAGCACCACAGGGGCTGGAGCAGGCCAAGTATTGCACCAAGTAGGGCCGGAAGTCGCGACCCTAGGCGAAGCAGTTGAAGTCGAGGATCAGTGCACCAGGGGCGATGCTACAGAGACGAAAAGGAGTGTCCACATGTTTCCACCCCTTACTCAATGAGTAGGAAATGTGTAGAGGCAATGTGCATCCTCTCAGTTCTGCGTGCATCATTTACAGTATCTGGGTATCTTTGGAACTGGGTAGCTTTCCGAAGATCTGTTCTTCTTGGTCATTTTTTTACACAGCAAGAACTGCGTACGAGTTCTATTCTCAAAAGGTGGAGGATTGGCCAACAAAACTGGCGATACAACCAAGTTGAACTTGTGGTGTTAATGTTGATAGTGGGCAAGTCATTATGCTATGCACAAGTCGATAGTAAGTCTGATTCCTCACCAGTTACGCCTGAAGTGAGCCTCCAAGATCATGTCATTGTTACAATCTGTTACAATTGTCTCAACAAGCAAAAGGTGGCGTGAAGGAAAAGGGTTATGTTAAGACCTAGTTGGTAAATGGGTACCCTCTGGTAATTTAACATAGCTATAGAAAACCACCATGCTATCAATGGGAAAATGAACTATAAATCACCATTTTCAATAGCTTTTTGTATGTTTACCAGAGGGTATGTGATTGACATATCGTGCTGATGCTGAGGTTCTGAGGGCGCCAGAAGCTTCACCCACCAAATCCGTGTGAAAATGAAAGACCTGCCTGAGACGATGTGAGTAGTACTTAAGCTAGAAGAAAACACTTGCACTCGTATACAGTATGGAAATATGTATATACTGTATATATATATTTATACACATATTTACTGGTCGGTGAATCGAGACTTCAATCAACTTCATGATAAACTCCTGGTGGAACCTGGTAGTATAACAAACAACAAAGGAAAGTAGTCGCATCTTTCCTTTCCACCACTCATGCCATCTTAGTGCCAAGTTTGGATAGACAGGTTTGCATCTTGTACGAGAACCCGATTCAAAGCGGTCGCCAGCAAATCAGGGACGTTTGTTGGCACGACAAGCGACAAGTGAAAAGTCGATCTGAGCAACACGTCCCGGGAAGAGCATGCTGCGATTCCTGAGTCATGATGCTGCGGTCCAACAGCTTGGGATCACTGTGTTTTTTAGTCATTGGGAAGCGTGGAACTGTAGTAGAAAAATTTGGGTTTAATGGAGATGACCGCTTCCTGGTTTTCGTGGTAACAAATGGTCGTAGTCACATCCTCCCGCAGCACCATAGAAAGTGGGCTAGTACAGTGCCTATGTGAGCATGAACCAAAATCTAAACCCAAGGGACCTCCAGATTTTCTTCCACTTGAGTTTATATCCCAAAATTGGAGTCTCCAATCTTGACCAAACTATCCAACTATTGACCAAGTGGGCATCCCAGACCAAGAGTCTTCACCCACAGCAGCTGGCCAACAGAGAAGCGGAGTCCCCGTTCAGAAATCAGCCTGGAAAACACGGCCGCCATATCCATGCTCAATCCATTGGACCCTAGCATCATGATCTAGCATCCCATAGCCTGAGAGGAGATCTGTTCACTTCCATGCTGAAGAAAAAAATCCTTATGTACACTTATATATATACCATTCTATGATATTCTATGTATATCCCTACCATTGTGTTAGTCACATCCCTACCATTCTTCATTTGCTGCTTCTTCCTCTATGTTTGCTCTGGGGGGTCATGATGTCTCTGAAAGACTTCGAAAGTGAACCTGAATGGTCACCCAAATTGGTGTCCTCAGCGTCATGGCGTGCACAAAAAACAATGATAAATATTGATAAATGATGGTTTATTTTGAATATCATATATATATTATACATATATATATACATATATATATATATATACATATATTATACATATATATATATATATTATACATATATATATTATACATAGATATATATATATTATACATACATATATATATACATATATATAGTATATAATATCTAAATCTATATGTGAATATATATATATATAAGTCTATTATTGGGAATTGTCCAGCCAGCCATGTTTGACTACCAGTGGATACTTCCCACATCACCCACCACTTGCCAGTAGACCCAAGCCAGTCGGGGGGTAAATCCACAGGAATTAATTGAAACTACCCTCCAGTAAACTAACATACATAGCGATGGAAAATCATCATCTCTAATAGGTAATTCATCTATAAACCGGCCATATTTTCCATTGCCATGTTTGATGATCAGGGTCATAATTCCACCTCTGGCAACAACTTTTGCAGCTTTTCGGCACACAGGGAGAGATGCCCTTCCTGGCCGAGACGCGTCTCGGAGTTGCGTCTATGGGGACCATGAAGAATACAAAGACCTTCCCAGATTCCCCAGATTTTTTCGCATTTACCAATGGGAAAATCCAACATCAGATTTACTGTAGCAAATCCAGTAACTGGGATCAAAATTAGCTTGAAATAAGGCCATTTGGGGATGATGTCTATTCCCAAGCATCATCAGGTCGTTACAATTCATCCAGAATTAGGCCAGGTTTACTTGTTTCTTATATGTCCCCAAACACATGATCTAAGGTGTGATTGACGATTATGCACCCGGAGCTGCAAGGCATACTACCCGCGGATACTCCGCTTAGCCAGGCTGTCACAATCTGCCCAGGCATATTCATGCATATTCTACATATTCCATGTCGTATTACATGGATGGGATTGGATAATTGTGTATCTTAGACTTTCCGGACTCTAATTGCGGTATCACTTGTGGCATTTTGCTACCTATAGATATACATACACAATTGTATACCATTGGTCAAATCCTTTCGATATCACTAACATAATTTACAAGTAAAAAAGGAAAGACAGTACATTCAAATGCAGTTTTTTCAACAACGACAACAACAACAACAACGACAACAACGACAACAACAACAACAACAACAACGACAACGACAACGACAACGACGACAAGCACGACAAGCACGACAAGCACGACAAGCACGACAAGCACGACAAGCACGACAAGCACGACAAGCACGACAAGCACGACAAGCACGACAAGCACGACAAGCACAACAAGCACAACAAGCACAACAAGCACAACAAGCACGACAAGCACAACCCCGTGCCATTGCGGGTCATCTGTCCATTCCGATCTCGCACGAAACTTCGCCTCCAACCAATCTGTGCGTCGCACCACACGCAGCGGCGCTGTGAAGCTGCCGCAACGGCCGCGCCACCTGCGGAAAACCACGGAACCACGCAGGTCTCAAAATGGGATGTAAACATACATGGGAGGAAGAAAGCCAAGGAAATGAATGGAATTAGCGTGATGTATCTTATGGGTATATGCATGGAGATCATGATAAAACATGATAAAACTGCGAATAAGGATGCATTATCATGAAAGGAAGGAGTGTCTCTTGCCAAGATGTGGTTTGAACCAACACGATGGGTTTTACCCACAGAAATGAGGCCTAGGGATTGCAGCATGTTTGAGTCATGTTGTGCATCATATAGTACCCAATTTCGGGTCATGTGTGTACCCAATTTTGAACCGTGCCCACATGAACACTACGAAACCAACATGTGAGCATGATATGATATGATATGATGTGATATGACATGACATGACACGACATGACATGATATGATATCATCAGAGATCATGATACTGGACGACAAAACAAAGAAAACATGGTATGCCACAAGTGAAGGGAGTCTATATCCAACTGTGCTATGGGACTCATGAAGACATGAAAAAAAAAAAAAAACAGGAAATGCTAAACTAGGATTCAGGAAGGAGAGAGTATAGGTATGGTTGAAAAGCCCAGCAACTGAAGCTGCTTGGTGGTGCAATAACCATCTTGATTTTTTTTTGAGGTCTCGTCAATGGGAAGGATGACATCCCATATATGAAATGGAACATAAAATTCATGTTTGAAACCACCAACCAGTTATATATATTATTTCATATACAAGGTGGTGCCCCATAGTTAGCTAAGTTGGTGAACATAACTCCCATTTCACTATGGTTTATGGCAGATATCACTATAGTATACTATAGTATTCATGGGGTGAATCTAAACCAACATTCACATCACTGGGGGGCACCATCCTGTAGTATCATCTGCAATTACCATTAAAAAAGATCTCCACAGATCCGGTTCAAAAGCCCAGCAAATGGTGCGTTTTACGTAGGGTGGCTGGATGGGTTGCTGGGGGTTGCTGGGATGATGAAATTACTAGTGATTATATATGGATCATTCCCTCAAATTCCCTGTGTAAAACGCACCAGTAAGAACATAGTCAGTTGGGATGATGACATTCCCAATATATGGAAAAAAAAATATTCCAAACCACCAACCAGTTTTTTATGACCCATGTATCCAACAAGTATCAAGCTATGAAGATGGTCCACAACCTGACAGAGCAGTCGCCATGGAAAGCCGGTGATTCTCAGCTCCCCAAAACGTTGCGGGCTGCGGGTCCGTGGCCATTGATCTAACCCTCTATTTCATTCCATAGGGGATATTCCATTAAGTGGGTCTTTTTTGACCCATTTATTACCTGGTTGGTGGTTGAGCCCTACCCCTCTGAAAAATGATGGAGTGAGTAACAGTTGGGATGTTGAAATTCCCAACTAATGGAAAAATAGGAAAAATCAAATTCCATGGTTCCAACCCACCAACCAGCATTTATTACTGTAAGTGGGATGCCCCAAGAAACCGAAACAAAACCCGAAAAACGGCTACCTGGTCCACGAGGAACTGACGCTGCGCGCGCTCGCATGGCTGCCAGGGCCGGCCAGGCATCCTGCGAGGTTTTCCCATGGCTGGCACATCCCGTCGTTGAACCAGCCCCATTTTAAGGTGCCTCATGTTAGAAAATCATCGGAAAATGGACCATTTAAGCAACAAAAGCTTGGGATTTCATGGGATTTCGAGCTGAGTCTTGTTGGATAAGTTGGTGAACATAGCTCCAATAACTTGGGTTTATAGTAAATATAAAATATGTCTATACTATTCTGGGGGTTATAAGCCCACAAACATCACTCGAAGGGGCACCACCTTGTAACCACCAAAAAATCACTGGTTGATGATACAAAAACGATGATACCAAGAATAAAATAACTGCTTGAATTGGCATCTTGCTTTCTGATTGATGATTCTTTGCTCCCCGTGAAATGGTAGTTGTAACATCACTGATAACTGAGAATATTACTGGGTATATATGGTATAACTGGGGAAACAATGAAGATAATGACTGATTAAAAACTGAACCCTGAAAAATATGTTTGTCACGGGGGATCATCGTCCCAAGTATGGTTTTAAAAATGTCTCGAACCACTAAACAAGAGATATGTATAGATATGTGACCTGAAGAAAGAAAGATTTCACTGTTGTACAATTTGGTAATCAAACCTAGGTGGAAAATCGTGTGTAATCATGTGTAGAAGAAATTCAACGATTGAGATCTATAGGAATAAGGATTTCCCGTTGTTAGCTTGAATCACCAGTACCAGCAGGTAGACTTGCTTGCAGGTTGATGTTCGTCTTTCCAGCCTTTTGATGGACTTGTCTGTTTATCCCCCCGATGCTCGTGGATTGTTTCTCGTTGATGCCGCTGGTTCCACGTTGTTGTTGGTTTCTTCCTGTTCCTGGTGGTTGAAACAGCCATACGACCCTGTCAAGTCTCCTTCAACAGCGTCAAGAAGGCCTGCCTCTTGGCCTGCCAGGCACCGCAGGGTCGTGCATTGATCTAGATAATACTGGTTGGTGGTTTGAACCCCTCTGAAAAATATTAGTCAGTTGGGATGATTATTCCCAATATATGGAAAAATAAAAAATGTTCCAAACCACCAACCAGTAGTATCTCTTGTTCAGCTAAGCCTCCAAGGCCTCCAAGGCCTCCAAGGCTCTCAGTTTGTTGCTCCAAAATCCAGCCCCTCAACTTCGCGCCTGCGGCAGCTGCCACATTCCCAACCTCCCACTGCACGGCACCGGCTCCGGCAACGGCCAGACCTTGGCCAGGCGCCAGCGGTGGTGGCCCCCCAGGGCCCAGCCGCTTTGCCGGGCCAAGGGAGCGAGGCAGCGGTCCACCAGGGCTACGCCCAACAAGGCGCCGTTGGGAAGGGCCGATGGCAGCTCCACACCGGCCGCGGCTAAGCGTCGGCGCACCTGGTCCTTGGTGGGATCCTAGCATGATCCAAAGATGCTGAGGCTTGGCCCTAACCAAAACGGAGGTTGATCTAATTTGCATCCATTTTTTGCCGAAGCAATATTCCACATTTTTCTACGACCATGGTGAACCCACCAGAGGTGAGGCAGCGGGAAAGTCATCCAGAAATCTTCATGGCCCAGGCACAGAGTCAGCCTGCGGAGCCGATCGGGAGCTGGCATGCACCACCAACAAACAGGGAAGTTGAGGAGGGCGCCAGCTGCGATTCTCGATGTCCTGGGAATCTGCGGGGCTGGCTGGATATCACATATGTAAACAGTATATTGTATTTTGTATGCAGTACATATATATATATATACATATATGTATATATACATATATGTATATATACATATATGTATCGAATTCTATGTGTATCTATGTATTTATATATGTTTTTATTTAATTGTGTATATATATAATATTATTCATGTCTCTATATATACATATGTGTATATATAATGTTATTCATGTCTCTATATATATATGTATGTATGTATGTATATGTATATGTATATGGATATGTATATGTATATAGATATGTATATGTATATGTATGTATATATATATGTGGAATGTCCTATCTTTTGAGCCACCTCCCAGAATCCCAGAACACCAGCAAGTTTTCCACGGCTAATCTTAGATTCCCTACAAACAAAGACCAATGTTGAGATGGTATTCACTTTGGTTATGTAACATAGCCATGGAGAATGGCCCATAGAAATAGATGGTTTACCTATTAAAAATTGTGATTTTCCATGGCTATGTTAAATAACCAAAGGGTATCTACCACCTTTGGAGGAAACAACCAATCATAAGTAACCCGGGAAAAAAATGACCCAACTCACCGCCTTCTGACCGCACATGATGGCGAAGGCAAAAGGCTGCTGCACACTGAGAGCTCGCAAAGAGTTCATCAACTCCTGATGAACTCGCAGGTGGTGGTGGAACTGGTGACGAAATGCTAGGGCCAGTAAGAACCTTTTTTGGGGGCAGGAGCAACTTATCAGGTAAATCCACAAAATGATCCAAAATAGGAAGGTCAAGCGAAATGACAAAGGGATATACCCAGAATGAAACACTGCAACATAATCAACAAAGTTGCATAGGGGCCTCCGCTCTCAAGATGGTTTACAAACCCACCCAAGTATAGATATATATATATCCACCATAAACCTTAGTTTGCCATAGTTGGCCTACTTGTAATCTAACTTACCCTATCTAGAACCCCCCGTAGGCCCTTCTAGAGGGAGAGATAGAAATTGATTCCACGGGCCAGGGAAATCAAAACCTCCTTTGGGGGCGTTGGGGTGATCTGGAGGTTTCCTAAAATGTGGGTGCCCATGGGTACCCCCAGTGATCATCCAGCTATTAGATTGGGATTTTCCATGATAAACCATCCAGCTTTTGGGGTACCCCATTTATGGAAACCCCGCATCTAAATGGATATAACTATGGTAATAAACTCCGTTAAGTTGGGATATGGAGCCCCATGTTGTAATCATGGTTACGTACCTATGTACAACTATAACCTCAATTGCACTCCCATGTGCAACTTTGGAAGCCAACAACAAGAAATCCTGGCAAATGGTGAAATAAATAGGTTTGTCAAAAAGAATGCGCCCCCCAGCAAATGGTCTCTCATCATTTTGACCGTTGAAATAGCCATTGGAGTAAATCCACCATTTTTTAAGAAACTCAAACAGGACATCATTGATATGATTAGCAAAATGCCCACAATAACTCTCTCATTGTTTAGGCACTTAACTAACTGACGATATTCTTCCGAAAAATGTTTGCCAGAAGAACTCCTTGAAGCAACCAACGGGTTCAACTCCCTTCAACCAATTCCAGCAATGGTCAAACCGCTTCCAAAATGCTACCCGGCCTGGTAAACGTTAACAAAAAGCTATTGAAAATCACCATGTTTAATGGGAAAACTCACTATTTCTATGGCCATTTTCAATAGCTACGTTAAATTACCAGAGGGTAATTCTCAGTCATCTTGCTCTGCTGTCGGCCAACATTCCAAAGAATGAAGAAAACGAAAGAATTTTGAGGATCTTCACCGATCTTCACCGTTCACCTGCCCTTTGGGGGGAGGTCTTCATCTGTTTCCGCCATCCAAAAGCCATCGGAAAAATACCGTGAGTCACATCCCATCTGGCTGAATTATTGGCTCACTCACCTCAAAATAGCTGAAAAGTTGAATCATTTTGGGAGGATTCTCCATGTGTATATATATATATAATACATATGTATCATTATGATATCTATATATATATATGTATATATATATGTATATGTATAAACCAGCATAAATTCATCCAGATCCCAGCGCTTTTCCCACCTTGATATGCTTTTCACTGACCTCACAAGCCTTCCGCTTTCGTTGACTGCCCGCGTCCGCCTGCGCTGCGGCGTCGACCCGCGGTGCCGCTTGGGCAGCGGCTGCTTTCTCCTATGGCCAGACAGCGGGAAATAGTCTGAATAACCATGTGTAAACATGATGATCAACGATGATTCATCACCATAATTAATAATGTTTTCAAGAACTCCAATTTTTGATATAATATTATATATTTATATATATATACATATTTATATATATATATATATATTTATATTTTATATATATGAATGCCACTTGAACGGCTTTCACTTCACCTCTGCCATAGAAAATTCATGGCTTGTCTTCTCTTCGAAGGGAGTTTGGTCATCTGCCCAGTTTCGTAGGCTTTAGTATGCCCGTTTTGGCTTGGAGTTCCAAAAGTGGGATGGATATCATATATCCGGTTGTTGGTATACCTACCCCTCTGTTTAAAATATGAAAGTCCGTTGGGGTTATTATTCCCAATATATGGAAAAATAATAAATGTTCCAAACCACCAACCAGATATGTATATATATATGATATGATATCAGGCAATCCGAAGCCAGAGCAAACCAGGCTGCGTATTTTCTCCTTCAAGCGCAAGGATTGGCGCAGGGGAATCAGGGGAGTGGAACTCACAGGCATGGCGTCGTGGTCGAGGGAAATCCCAAGCAATTCTGCGACGACTGAGCCATAGATCGCCATTCCGTTTCCGGCGCATTTGCGAAGCTACACCCTAAGAAAGCATAAAAAGCCATCAGTTTTTAGCAAAGGAATCTGAACAGGGTTTTTACCCCAAACCCTTCGAATAGACTTAATTTGAATTCTAAGCTTTACGAAGTTTTAGCCCATATACAAAGGAATCTGAATTTCAAGTTTTACCCCAAAAACACTCAGATTCGGGGCATTCAACGAAATCTGGACAGTGCAATGACCAAAAAAAACATATCTTCCCATGATGAAACTCCCCTCAAAGGTGCCCAAAGCGAAGAAATTCCACCACGAAACCAGGGTTTCAAGGGGATTACCCTCTGGTAAACTAACATAACTATGGAAAATCACCATGTTCAATGGGTAAATCCACTGTAAATGGCCATTTTCAATAGCTATGTTTGTTTACCAGAGGGTATTTTATGATCCTGGATTTGCTGAAGGCGCCCCAAAAAACATTAATATCTCCTCAGTGTGTAGATTCCCCCAAATAATGGAGGAAGAACTGGGGAAAACATCTTCATCAAATCCAGCCGAAAAAATCCTACGGCTCGAACCTCGTGGAAGGGTTTCTGGTCATCCATCATTGCCTCGACAAGTGGACAGATTGGAGGGGCTCAGGAGATGTTCCAGGTATACCCTCTGGTAAACTAACATAACTATGGAAAATAACCATGTTTAATGGGTAAATCAACTATAAATGGGCCATTTTCAATAGCTATGTTAGTTTACCAGAGGGTAACTACATGACTCAATTGACATACAACATTTGGATACATGTGGGAGTTTTAAGACCTTTTCAGCACCTTTCAGCGGCGACAGGGACGAAGGATATTCAACCAACAAAACTGCGGCGTTCAACATGGCCAGGATGACCGGGAAAGGGGAAACGACTTTGGGTGCCTCTCAGTTCCACATGCCTATCTAACGTGGCAAAACGACATCCCCCCGGAGCTGTGCGAAACCAAGTTTGTATATGTTCAATCACCATGCTTAGTTCACCCTTTGTGTATATATATACATACGTATATGTGGTGTTTATCACAATGAAATCATGTGAGTATATGACTTCATTTGTCTATGTTTTTTGACCTTTCATATGGGATAGGATGTTTGCCCTGTTACTGCTGCACTTGTTTTTGCTGCACTTCCCCAAGTCCCTTTAGATGTTGTTTTTTCTGTCGGGATGGTTCCAAACCCGTGGTGAACACCAAACTTTGCTGGTGGATGTCCGCTAAAAATGATGTTTGCAAGTGTTGATTGGCCATGTTGATATTTCATGATATGTCCAGATTGGTAAATTGGCCGCTCCTTCTATCATAGTTCTGATGCTGTGATAGCCTATGTATGGTCTGCAGCATCACTTGTTGGTTGATACACTGGGGGTTCCCATACTCCATCAAGTTCTAGAAACCAATCAACAGGGAGTTGGGTCGCTGATCACATGAAATCCCAAGAGTTTTTTCAGACTTTGCAGTGGAACAAGCCGCAAAAAACTACGAAGCATCCTACTATGGGTACTGCTCAACATTCAGGCAATCACCAACATAAAAATGCTGGTGTTTTTGGCATGAAAAACCATTCAAATTCTGGCAATTCTATTGCCTTTTTGGGCATATATATATATATCCTACCATAGTATTTATTGGTTGCATACCATTAAGTATATCATAATAGTCTTATATCATAAGTTATATCCCCCATCGGGCTAGATCTTTTTCTACCCGGCTAGATCCACATTGTCCGGTGGATTTCCAGTAGCCACCTGCACAAAGTCCAAAGTATTGGAGGAACTGCCGCTTTGCGCTGTGATTTCGTCCTGGCCAAGAAGCCACACATGGCCCAACTAACAGTCGACTGGGAGTATAACTCCTGTAACTAATGTTATATATCAATATAAATATATATATATATAATCATATATAATATGATTATATATATATATAATCATATAATATATATATATATATCATCATAAGCCAGTTATAACTGTCAAGGGCTATAACTGCAGGACATGATTCTCAATATGGTCAATTTTTCCAGGCCCGACCGCAGATTCTGTTCACAATGAGGAATCTAATACTCAGTAGTATTAGGAATCTAATCACCAATGCCCTAAATTCTAGGGAAATCTAATACCTCAATCACTTATTCTGTTCACAATCCATTTTTGATCCATACCCAGTTGGCTACTTAGACTCAACGCTGCAAGTTTCACCCCCTCATGATCCATACCCCGCCTCCAGTTTCAGCAGTTGACGGTACTCCTGCAAGAGTTGGGGACTCGTTTTGAAACGATGTCCATGATGCCTCAAGACTAAACATAGGGATTTAACATGATTTAAGCAGCAAAAATAAAAGGATAGAATCGGATAGAACGAAACAACTGCAAATTGGCTGCTAATTTTGAGCACAAATCCGTTCTTTCCGTTGGTGTTAATAGAAAATAGTAGAAAAATGAAGGCCTGCTAGTCTACAAAGCCTGCAAAATCATGGCCTTCATCCACGTTTGTACTGGGAATCTTGATCTTGGGATTGCCGGGCCATGGCCAAACAACACACATTCCCAGATATTCCCCTTGTACATTCCCCGTTGATTCCAGAAGAGGGGTTGCGCTGTCTATCACCGACTTGCAGTCCATCAGGGATGAGGCTTGTTTGGTTGAACCAATCATAAACCACATCAACCATTCCAAATGGTACCATTGGGGAGGCACGATCATGATACACCATATCCAATTGGGTGAGTCCAAGATCTGGTACCTCTAAAATCCGCTTGTTAGTCAGTCAATAATGTGTTTTTGTTGCAATGTTCTGAAAAAGATGTGACTTTTTTTGTTTTTAACTTGAATTCAAAATTTACAGCTTTTCTCTATCATCATTTTCGGGGTGTGAGTTCCTCTTGATTTTTCCCCCAGGGAATTCTTGCTTTCTGGTGGGCGATTTTCCCGCATACAGCTTCCTGGTTGAAAAGCAGAAAAAGTACACGCCTCAGACTGGATCTTCTCATTCAGGTCGTGCGCCAGATTGATGTAGACTTCCAACAGGGGGTGTGCCGACCTGGATTCTGACGATTGGACCGATCAAGCCGTGACGGGTACCGGGTGTAGCTCGTTTCGCACAGCCAAATGGAGGCCGGGAAACACCAATTTTTCTGCAGCTTGAAAGAAGTACTGCTTATCAATAATAATCTTAGAGACCCTGCAGGGAATTACATGCATGGCATGCTTTTACTACTATGTATATATAAATACTGTAGATAACATTATGTAGATAACTATATAAATAATATAATGGTTCTATTAACGAGGAGGAAAAACCACTAGATCCACACCAATCATCAGCCACTGGTACAAAACTTCGGTCAACTATTTTCTGGCAGATTGTCATATATATATATTATACAGTTATGTAGGTGCGGTGAGAGAATCTACCAAGTAGCCCACCCAGATTTCTGTTCTGCTACCTGACTCACATTCCGAATGGTGGTACCGAGCTGCCACGATGGAGGGATGTTGCTGCCACGGTGGCTCCCGTAGTCAAACATGGCAATTGGTAATCCCCTGTAAATGAAGGTGTTTTAATGGGAAAATCATCGAACTAAATGTGGGATTTGTTTAATTGCTATGTTTCATTACTGGAGGCTATAAAATACAACTCATTCAATTGCCCAGGGAAGTTAAACATCGTTTCTTTCGACCTTCGGCATATACCCTCTGGTAAACAAACAGTTTGCTATTGAAAATGGCCCATTTATAGTTGATTTTCCCATTAAACATGGTGATT